ATAAAATAGTGCGATAGACATCGATAAAATAAATCCAACAACAATAACTCAATTTCTTTTTAGTATTCAATATTGAATTTGAAATTGTATAATTCGAACATAATATATAAACAGACTCTATTTTGATCAGGATTCAGGACCTTATGGTGACGTTAATATTTCATAATATATATTAATATATAAACAGACTCTATTTTGATCAGGATTCAGGACCTTATGGTGACGTTAATATTTCTTGGCATAAATTATGTATTTGATTGTATTCCATGAATCAGAAATGATTGATTATCGTTGTGAGTTTGTTTCTTGTGATTCGATCATGTAAGTTGCAGGCGTTKTAGCTGGCTTACCCGCTTACTGTGAGGCACTGAGGCGTGACTGCGTGAATCTATGACTACAGAATAGAAAATAATTCATGACGCTAATACTAATTTATTTAAGTTTTTGAGCTTTAGCCGAGATACTACTAAGTTATAGCTTCAAATTTATACTTTTTACTACACAAATCGACGTCATCCAGAAGTTGGACGGATTTTTTAAAAATATCATCAAATTGGTTGCATGACTTAACGTATGCAATGGCGTGTAATTAAATACAATTTTGAGTAATCACGTGCTACATAGATGGTAACACTTTGTCACCAACGTATTAAATATTATACAGAACACGGCACGACTGTGTGAAACACTTATAACTTTGGTTCGATGTGGAAAGAAGAATTGAGAAATCCAGATTTACGATAAATCGGTCAATGAGTCTCACACTCCCACATCAAAATCGCGGTGGAGCCGTTTTGACCGTTGGTATAGACCACCCCGAGATGGCGATATCCCACCATCGCAGTAACCATATCAAAGAATTCTACAAAAAAACAGCGGCGACTGCGACACTAAAGTTGTACGGTTCATACTGTTYATAGAAAAGAATAGATGCCTAACAAAATTATACACTCCACAATTATTAACCACTTCGTCGACTACCTGATAGGCTGATAAAGTGATAAGGACATTATAAATGATAATCCGCTAATACGCTATTTCGCTTTGCACTGCACACTGCACAGTTAGTAGACGCTCCACGTTCGACATACTATTAAGTTCGAGCCTTCGAGGCTTCAGCAGTTCAGCTGCTGAAGTGCCGACTACCGAGTCCGAGTGTGGCCGTGTCGCGAGTCGCGAGTCGCATGTGGCTTGTGCGCCCGCGTCGGAACCGCTGGTCGTGCGTGCGTGAGTGAGAACCGAGTGCGCCGGCGCGAGTGTGGTGTGCCTGTGTGCGTGTGCGCGGTACGTGTGTGATTGTGTGAGGTGCGCGCGCGGAGTGTCGTCCGTACTACGACTACTACGTGCACAGTGCTCACCGAAGACCGAGTGTTACATTATACTTATATCGGTTTGCCCACCGGTTATCGCGTATTACCCGCCGTGCGCCGACGGGTCGACTTTACGCGATTGCCGTCGTAACAACTAGCAACTTAAGTTTTGCCGGTCGCGGACGGGCCGCGCGTGTGACGTTAGAATGACCGGTTCGTCACCACTCACCACCACCGCATCCTCCGAAACGTCACCGTCCCGCCACCGTCCGCTGTCGTCGTATCCGCCGTTCTTTGCCGCCGTGGAGATGACGCGCACCGTAGCGTAAAAGCCGCCGCCTCGCCGGTCGCCCGACATCCGTCGTCGTTGTCGTCGTCGTCGTCGACGTWATATATTAATGGCATCGTTGCCGCAACCCAAGTTCGAACCCAAAGCCCCCGACAAAAGCTCGTCGGCGGCTGCGTGCGAAGTTCAAAAGAAAATCCAAGAGACCGCCGACTGTTCGAACGTGAGTAGTAATAACACACCAACAACACCTTTGGCGTACCATGTCACCGGTAGTACATAAATTATACGGTACATAATGGACAGTACACGGACCTGTGGTTGTCCACAATATTGCTAAGTCATCATTTGTGCCTCTTAATTCGTAATATTAATAACAATTGCACACAGCTGAAGGGCGCGCACCTCTTGAGATGTTTTTCACTTTCCCATCTATATACACCTAGTACCTCTATCCGAATTAAGCGATATCGTTAGGTATGTTATAATTGTAATTATTATTATTATTATTATTATTATTATTATTATTATTATTATTATTTTAATATAATATGTAATAATTGTTATCGTCTGTGTTCGCGTGTGCGGGTCAGTCTGCGTGAGTAGTGTGTTTGAGCGTTTTTATTCGTGTGAATTTTTTTTTCTTTCGCATTATTTCTTGACATTCAAAAATAGGTATCTACCCACAGGCCACAATAGGTACTTTCAGATTTTCAGAATTGAGAACTCCTACTTAACCTATTCCGGATTTTTGCGTCCGACGGGCGACGATCATGATAATGACGACGACGGCGGTGGCGATGATAATGATAATGATAAATGATAATAATAATAATAATAATAATAATATTAACGCATATTACTGCAAAGCCTCAACACCACCCGACTATTATAATATATATAGCTTTATGTTTATATATATATATACGAAATAATGAGTAATCAATTTTCTGTATCAAAAGCACKGCAGTGTGTGCGTCGGTGCGTTTATGCGTGTTAGTGCGCGAGTGTACAGTGGCGACTGTTGAGGTATGTCCATCGTGTGTTCTACTCTGGTACGTTTTTCCATTGCCTTTGATTTTTATTTTTTTATTAATTGCCCTTTAAATCGAAAGTTCTAGGTACCTTAGTACTCAGTAGTGCCTTTGTGTGGGCACACTTATTGGTTTTGTTACTCAACGCTAGTATACCTGTTTTAATAATATAAGGTATAGGTACCTACATGTTATATGGCCTGTTTAGTGCCCTTTTTTAAAAATCATAAGGTCATGCATTTCTTATCTATACATCTRTCCGTCCACGTATAATAATAATACCTTATAATACGATATTTGTGAATTGTACCTTTCTAATTTATTTGTTGTTTATGTGTATTATTTATTATATTTTATCTTTTTTTTTTTTTTATAGAACAACAAGTCCAAATCATTATCACTGGATTTATCGAATTTGAACACTGCTAGTTTTAAGTCCTTATTAGAAGAAGTGGTCGCATATGATACGGCTAAACAGACTAAAAGCGAATTATATAACGTATGTATTATTACAGATATCAATTTTGATGACTTATTGTTTCAAAGTTCATTCCTATTTGTTTGTATACTTATCTTGGTCTTAAACTGGGGTTTTAATAATATGTTTAAAATAGAATATGTAATTTTTTGTTATGATGAAAAAACATAGTAAATTATTTAAATATTCTTTATTAACTACTTAGAAATAATCAGAAAAATACTATTTAGTTGATACMAATTAGTAAATTATAAATGTTTCCATTTAAAATTATGAAAGAGATATATATATTATATATACAAAAAACTACAAAAAATACCTAAAATAAGTAATTGGCTAAAAAAAAAATCTTCTTACCATTTAACATTTTATTTTATAATCCAATGAAATAAATTATTGCTTTTATAAAATAAAATATTTATATTAATATTTTTATTAGAAACTTCAAATTACATTTTCATAGTTTTTGAAGTTTTACATTTAAAAAGATAAGTTTATAGAGCATAGAGGTCACCCATGGCCGAGTGGGCCTGAACTAATGTTCTAGCGGGCACGGTCCCAGGTTTGATTCCGAGGTAGCCACATGTCATACTGTCATCTTGTATGTGGTGGCATCAAGACTCTGGAGCTAGCCTACCAGAAATTATCAACCCATCCCTTATGTAATTGGACTTATCTAGTTAACTAAGAACCTGTCTTTGACACCTTATCATGTGAAATGGGTACAGTCCTCATAAAGTAAAATGCAACTTAGAAGGTAATAATGAAGATGTAACACCATTGATTATTTAGATAAAGTTACACATAGTATTTATGGGTTGACTTATCCAAATGCATTCATTATATAAAATGGTCCATTATATTATATTGTTTAAAATTAAAAAATTGAAGTTCAATGATTAATAATGAAATTGAATTTTTGAGAAAAATCAAACCCATCATTTCAGGCTACCAATATATTATAAATTATAAAATAAGTTTAAATTATACAAAAATTAAATATGGACAGGTAATAATCTTTTACCGTTTCAAGGTATATACTAAATTTTTTAATTATTTTTAAAAAACACCAAAGTTTTATAGACATGATGCTTAAAGTTATCTTAGAGAACTAGCGGATTAAAATAACATTCTTGTTGACTAACATAACTTCTAAATTACAAGATTTAAAATTATTTAGAGAATTTATGACCCCAAATCAGACTCAATATTTCAAAATAAATAACAGGTGAGATTTTAATTTATCTTCAAATATACAAATATTATCTATACCAAATTAAATAGTTGATATAATAAATCCTTTAAAACATGCTAACATGTTGAAATCTAAACATTTGACTAAAAGTTTTTTAAAAATTCATTCCTTTTCCCAATTTGGATCAATCCTTATTCATCTAGATTTCTTAAGTTTTCTCCTTCAATTTCTGTTTCTATTCTGTTTTCATTCAGTAAAAATAAAGATTTTCTATGTTTTCTTCGTTCTCGTTCAATAAATTATTTTKTATTGAATATTATTCCTATAAATTGTTATAATACTAATCAATTAAATTATAGATACATGGAAAATACAGAAATAATAATTTGTGTATTATTTGGTAATTGTTTTAAAATATCATCTCATCATCATCCACCAGGTTCATTCTTTGAGGCCTTGTATTATTCTTTATAATAGTTCAGTCACTTGATCATCATCAAATTATTTTGCCATGATACAAGTTAAAATTAAAGCTAAATTAAAAAAAAAAAATGTATAATATAAATAATATTATCGCCCTAAAATAATTAATAAATAGCTTTTAAAATGATTTACAAAGTGACTACCGTAGTCATATWAAACAACTAGATAGCCGACTGTGAATTACATTCCCATAAGAACGTTGAAGTCGGGCCGCCATATGCCAACWGGGCAATGTTTACATAAAAACTCAATAGATAAGATACCTATATTGATAAGTGATAGTAAATAATAATTCAATTAATGAAAAAACGAATTTCTTTTCATATTCTATAGTCAAAATGTCAACWACAAATTAAATTACATAAAGTAGTAATAAGTACATAATATACTACAGTACAAATATTTATATTCATTTTGTTATCATTAATAAATAATCTTATAAACCATTCGATTTTGTAAACATTGCCCTGTTGGCATATGGCGGCAGGCTGACTTCAATATTATCACAGAACAATATGGAATAGACACTCGAACAGCTGATCGGGTTACTGTATCGCTACAGTTGAAGTATTGGAAATTGTACCGTATCCGTAACCTGATAGAATGTTAGCAACGTGTATCCCTCTTAGTTACGTAATTATAAAAACGGAAACAACCAAACAACGCATTACAAAACACTTTATCAGTTCTGTCTCTTTTTGTGTGATAATAATGATATGATTTATTTAAGTGATAATGCATGCCACTCCCTCCTAAAGGCCGTGTTCAAGGCCACAGTCACCAGATTTTGCCCTTATACACAGTGTCTGTACCCTGATATTATCCCGTAGTCGGCTATCTAGTTGTTTTATATGTCTATGGTGACTACTTAAAATAGTTGAAAAAATAACAACTCTAATCAGCTAAAATAAGCTAAATGAAAGGGTTCCCTGGGTACTTCAATAGCATTCAATAGTGTTGGCTTATATCGTTAATTATCGCACACCTCGTGGCTGTTTGCATAGATCAGTGGTTCCCAAAWTTTTTTGCCTCGCGTTTACTTTTTTTGAAATATAGTGTATTCATGGTGCCTCTCCCTAAAAAGAAATAAAAATCAGAAAAAAATATGATAGGTATTATGAAAATATTTATTTAATTACAACTATACTTAAGTCATAAGACATTGGTTATATTAAGATTTAGGTCACGGTTATCTACTCAGGTTGGAGCTTGCGGATATGCTGCACGTGTAGCTGCCGTGTCGAAGT